TAATTCATTTTTATAAAATTCCTTTCAACAACCACCATTAACATTTTCATTGAGCTTAATTAATTTCCATGTAAATCCTCTTCTTAGATTTATATATATTAGCATAATTAATTCAACTGATAAATTTTATATTTCAACAACCACCTCCACTTTATTGTCATTAATTGTGCAAAAAAAAATTTCTTCTTATTTTGCACTCCATTTTCTTTGTTTCTCATTTTATGGTTAATATCTAAATTGAAGTCGACTAATCTGAATTTATATCTAGTAAGGTCCATTAAAGATATTAAGATCGACTAATTTGGATATGTGTTTAGTAAGCTTCGTTAAAGAAAAAGGCCTTTTTAATCACATTTTTCATTCCACGATTCAAATTAAAGATATCTAATTAATTACGTAGAAATCTTATCCATTCAATCATAATTGCATTTCGTAATTTTTTTTAATATTCAAACTATATCACATAAATTGAAAATAAACCGTATTTTCGATTGATGTAGTACTAAATTACCAAAAATATTCACATTAAAAAAAGGTAATAAAAGAAAACTTTGAGAATAAGAAATGTCCATATGAGATAAGGTACCATAATTTGATGATGAAGCAGTGCTTCAAACAGAAGTAGGACAGTAAATAATTAATAATTGTCCATAGATAAGGTAGCACAATTTGATTATGTCCTCCGTCTTAAAATAAGTGTTATTTTCATAAAAATTACATTTATTAAAAAAATAATAAATATAATATATATAAAAAGATGAAAAGGGTATAGTTAAAAAAATATACGACTAGTTTTTAGCTTGAATTCCTAAAGTTACATTTATTTTGAAACCAAAAGAAAAATAACAAAATACTTATTTTGGGACGAAGAAAAATATTCATATAATTTTGTGTCATTTCGTTTTCTTCAAGCACAAACTTGTATAATGCAATGTGGCATTAAATAGAGAGTAAACTTTGTTTGTAAACAATGAGTGGGCAAACATAATAGAACAAATGAATTATGTATGTAGTGCTATAATGACAACACCTTATACCATAAAAAATATTCTAGTGGAATTTAAGTACTCAATTCATTTTTAGTCATAGATTTCAAATTTAAATTTTATAAAGATAGCTATAATATAATGATATTAAATTCATCAAAATTTAGTATTTTTAATATGGATGATTAGGTGTAAAATATTTATTAAAATTATAATAAATAAGTCTAAAATTTTAAAATTACAGTGAATTCAATGATAAGAACCTTAGAGATTGCTCCTCAAAGTGAGACTTCTCTGCTTAGTTTAACTTCAGATTAATTAGGTTTCAAAATAGATATTATTCGAAATGTAAAGTCATTTTTAGGAGAAAGTGTTTTATTCTTTAAAATTATCTTTTCGTTGTAAATTCAAAATTAGTCATTCTGCAAATTGCATATAGATATTAAGTGGGAAAAATATAAAATAAAATATCTTATCATGACATATTTTTTTAATTTATCTAATAGATGGTCGTGTATAATCATTTGGAATCGCACATCATTCTTGTACTCGAATTTTCTATGACTGAGAGGTTACCTACCAATTATAATTAAAAGTTTGAGTAGCATTAAATTAGTGAATTGTTTGAATATTTGTTTTAATTTTGGCGGGAAGTGTTTTTCTCTCTAAACTAGTCTATATTTTAAAATCAGAAGCGAAGCTAAAAATTGACATGAGTTTGGCCAAATCTAGTAACATTGGTTCAAACTTTATATTTATATTTAATTACGACTTTAATAACTGTCACTTAATATCAATATTTAAAATTTAAAATTTATAAAGTTTGAATTCTAATTCCGCGTCTATATCGAATGTGAGTTGCCTGGCCAAATGTGGCCAACTTTGCCTATTTTCATGATCATCATTTGTCCCTTTCATTTACCAATCTTCAAGTACAAACATTATTAACATTCTATTGTTTTCCATGGACCCCATTATTTAGTCAACAGTTTTTTTCTTTTTCTAACTTTTTTTTAGTACCGTTATGGTAAGACTTAAGTTATCGATTCAAATTTAATCATAGTTTGACGATTTTAGAGTTTTACCCTAGAAAATAAACACAAATTGAAATTATTTCAACGTAAAAAATAATTAATTAATTTTTATATTATTTGAAATTGGACTAATTTTATCATTCATTGAACTACTAATTCAAAATTATCGAGATTTTTTCCAATAATTTTTATTGAAATTTCAATCTGAGGGCAATTTTAAATCATATAGACAAAAGTTGAAGGAAAAATCCAGACTTTTTTTTTCTTTTGAAGCGACATGTGGAATCTGTCTATTTAACATCGAAATTAAAAAGGATAAATACAAAATAATTTTATTTATTTTTAAATTAACAACCTCAAAAAAAAAGATTTCTTGGCTTTTTAATTCTTTTCACCTTTTGGGTGAATTTTTAAATTAACAACACCAAAAAATAGAATTCTTTGCTTTTAATTCTTTTTACCTTTTGGGTGATCAATTATTTAGAGCAAAAATGTTGTTCCATCTTTCTGAGAAAAAATATTATTTTCTTTAATTACTTTTTTACTAGAAAAGGAATTCTTGATTGTTAGGTCTTTTTAAACTTTATGATCATCATATCATTTAAATGATAAAATATACTTTCCTTCCTTTGGTAAATAATTGATTAGAAATACTAAATTAAAGTCTTTGGACTGAGAGATTTAATCATATAATAAGTGTACTTAAATGTAATTCTAAAAATTGTAGTAGGATGATAAGTGTCATTTCAAAAAGTATTGGGGTTTGAAATATGAAACAATAGATTGCATGTCATCTTGATTTGCAATAACTTATAATATAAACTTCAGATAGTGGTTAAACATTTTTTCATGACTTTCGATTTTACTCAAAAGAAATCTTTAGATTATAATCTAAGAAATCTTTTAAAATAAATAAAATAATAACATTTACTATTTAATTATCTCAAAAAAGGATAAATGATAAAAAAATAATCACAATAAATATTATCGAGCCCAAAGACTGATGCGCGTCAAGCTATAAAGGGTATCATGATAATTGATACAACCTGAAGCAGAGGAAAAAAAGATAAAGTACGTTATTGTTTAGTCTAATTTTTATGAAAGCTTTAATAATATATGGACTGATTATAGTATGAGTATTTTTATTTATAAATTCATTTATTTAATCTTAGCATAGAAATATATAAAAAAAAATGCATTTATCATATTCTATTTTCTTCGATTTGCCATTTGCTTTTCAAATTCTATAACTAAATATTGAATACTGAATAAAAAAAAGGAGAAAAATGCATAATAATCCAAAACTATATACAACCAAAATTTGTATGATATATATATAGAGAGAAGTAGAGTGCAAGAAAGCTTTGGTAGTTAGCATGCAAATTAAATTTTGCTGTTAAAATTATTCTTAGCCTAACAGAAAAATGACATGAGCAAACATAAGGTCATGGCTCATGACCTTTCAAACAGAACAAAAGAATCACTAAATAATTAACTAAATCATGATGCGATGACTGAAATTTCTCTACTTTAAATTAAAAGTTTTGAAATTAAATAAACCATTAGTCATCGCATTTTTCTTTTATTAAGAGTGTCACTCCGAACTTGACATATAAAATTCAGATTTAATCGGATCTGAATTCAAAAGTGCGAAACTGGTGTATGGAAGGGATCTTTATAGTGTTTAAGTGGGGACCAAAGAATTGGACAAATATAAAGAGGGCCCCACTATATGTATAGTTGCATTTTCACACATGAATGGGTCCTACAAACAGATGGAAATCATTCTCCTAGTTGAATGAATAGTAACGGAAAATATATGCGGAGATCTCGAGTTTAAGTCTTGGATATAAAAAGATTTTTGATAGGGAACGCTTTCCTCTGAATGAGGCCCTACATAATATAAATTCAAATATAGTTGGACTTCAATATAAATATCATACATTGAATAAAAGAAACAAGAAATAATGTAAAAAGTATTTATACAATTACATATTACATAGTAGTAAATAGTAGCAAATCTATCATTACAGACAAATTAAACTATAGTATTATGTAAAAAAGAATAATCTATTCTAGCTTCTTCTTATTTTGGTTAAAGTGTTGCTATCATTATTTCATAAATTGAATTTTTTTCTTTAAATATTAGGAAAAAGGATAAATATACTCCCAAGCTTATATAAATGGTTTGCAAATACCCTTCATCATATTTTTGGGACATTGGTGTCTCTACCGTTGAAAAACTAGAGCATATATGTCCTTCACTCTAACAGAAAACTAGGGACATGTGACACAATCTTATCCATCGATCTAATATTTAATAAATATCGAATCAGTAGATAAGATTACGACACGAGTATGTCCGTTAGTATAAAGGGTATATATGCTCTAGTATTTAGACGGCAGGGGCATCAAAGTTTCAAAAGTATGACGAAGGGTATCTGCATATCATTTACAATGGTTTGGGATATATTTGTCCTTTTTCCCTTAAATATATGTTTGATTCTGAAATTTTATCCGATTTCTAGTTTCAAAAATTGTCTCAGATCAGTTTAGTGTTTTTAGGACTTCAACTCATAAAACTTTGTTAAGAGTGTCACTCCCCACTTCCCTCTTAAATTTAGCAAGTATTATAGACAAATCTAAATTTAATTAAGCTTTAATATGATTGCTCCGCGCTTTGAATAAGAAACCAAACGAAAATTCTTGTTACTATGCACTAGAAATTTCCATTCATCTTTTTTCTGTGTGTATTACTATTAGCTTTGTTTGCGTGCTAAAATGCCTTGATAGATGCACACATTTCTCGTACACCCTTTTGTAATCATTACACCATTCGTTTTTCTCGCTCCTGCACCGCAATCCATACTGTTATCGACTAATGGATACTATACACAACCCCACCCCCCACTCACCTTCTTTCCATCCTTTTATTTTCTTCTATATATACAATTGAACTTAGAGAGAGAGGGCTATAAGTTTTTTTTCTTTTCTTAAAGCTTTTGTATTACTAAAATTCTTCTCTCTATTCATATCATCCAATCTCTTCTACTTTTCTTCAACTTTTATACATTAATTTTGGTTTCAAAATATATCCAGAAACTGAAAATAAAAATAAAAATTGAGTTGCTAGCTACACACAGCTGATTAATGTGCATAATGGATCATCAGCAGCAGGTAAATATAATAGTAAAAGTGTTTGTTATCTTTTGGTTATTTTTATTGGGGTTTTCTGTGTTTTTCGTAAGTAAATTGCTCGTGGTTGTTCAATCATTTGATTTATAGTTATAGAAAAAAAGAGAGATGTAATAAAGTAGTTTTGTTGTTTTGGGGATCTTCTATTCTTTGATTTTTCTTTTTCTTACTCTTTTTTGTGTGTTCATGTTTTTTTTTTTTTCACAATTTTTCATTTTTTTCCCTTTTGCACAAAAAACTATTTGACTGATGTTTTGCTTAAAATACAAGAGATTTTTTTAAAAAAAAAAAGAAGAGAAAGGAAATCTAGAGAGTGTACTATTTAGGTTTAGCAAATTTGGTACATAAATAACATTTAGGTTTAGCAAATTTTGTCAATGATTTTAAGCAACATTGTTTAGGTACTTTGAATTTTATTTACTTTACTCAATGATACTATGAATTAGTACGGCGTATTGTGAAAATTCATCATAAATTGAAAAGTTTTACAGTTCTTTATCTGGATTTGAAACCAACAATGTGAGCGGCTGAGTTAAGTTCTAATCTAAAAAGAACAACTCAGAGCATCATTATACATCCCACGTGTTCCCACTAGGTTCAAAGAAGCCCGCACCCCAATGGATGTGATGCTTAGTATTGTTTTCATAACTCAAACTCCTCATGACTTGATGACAATTTTGGTGTTTGCTTCAAGGCTTGCCCACATTTGAGTTCTAAATCTCACGTTTTCTTAATTTGTGCCCTCCAGGAAATGTCTTCACAAACACTAGAAAGCATGTTGGTTTGCACAAAACCAGATCAAGATCAAAAGAAGCCAAGGCCAGCAGAACAACAACCTCAGAAATGTCCAAGATGTGACTCTGCCAACACAAAATTCTGTTACTACAACAATTACAGCCTCACTCAGCCCAGATATTTCTGCAAATCTTGCAGAAGGTACTGGACTAAAGGAGGTACGCTCAGAAACGTTCCAGTTGGTGGTGGTTGTAGAAAAAACAAAAAATTATCATCAACAACATTAGCAAAGCGATCAAGTCAAGATAACATTAGCCCAAACATCAGTAATCCAATACCTTCCTATGATTCCTCAACTGATTTGAGCTTGGCATTCGCCAGGCTCCAGAAACAGACAAATGCACATTTGGAGATCGATCAAGAACATGACAACAACAACAACAACAACATGTCAATGATGTACAATACTGGCAACAACTGTACTAGTACTGCCTTTCTTGATGCACTAAGAGGTGGATTTCTCGAAAATGCCCCAAATCATCATGGATTGTTTCATCACAACATGTATAATTACGCGAACATGGGGCAATTAGTAGAGAATGGAGAAATGGGGATGAGTTATGATCAAGATCAAATGAGTATTGGTACAAGTACTACAATGATGACAGCGATAGTGAAGCAAGAGATGTGCAACATGGCACGATCAACAGAAGGTCATGACCTGAATAACAGTAATAACAACAACAAAGTCTTGTGTGGATTTCCATGGCAACAAATGAATGGAGATCATCATGTTAACAACATGAATACGAATGATTTTGAATATTCAACTAACAAGCAAAGTTGGAATGGATTTGGAGGTTCTTCTAATTGGCATGGACTTATTAATAGCCCTTTAATGTAGATGTTTAATTAGAAGAAGAAGAAAAAAAAGGTAGTATTTTGATTATTAATTCTTAGATTAGACTGTTTTAATTTTTAAATTAAATATCTAAGAATTTTCTGTTTAGATGTTTTGATTCATCTGAATTATTAATCCCTATGTTGTTTTTTGCTTTTTTTGGTTTCATGGGCTGTGTATCTTTTTAGTTTGTTTGTCTAATATTGATTGACAAATTAATGAAACTTAATTTTTGTTTTCTTATATTCTATTGCAATTCCTTTTTCTTTTACCCTTTTTAAATGACAATATTTCATTTTTAGTTTTTGTTTAAGAAAAAAAAAAACCTTTTAACTTTAAACTTTCCATTTTAGGCTTATTGGAATAATAAGTTTAGGGGTTAATCTGTTATAGAATTTGAGATTAACTTTATTTTGTGTTTTAGATAATTCTAATTATAATCGTAGAATAACATGATTTTGAATCGAACAACCCCTTATAGTCATAGAGATGTCAAAATATATTTAAGATCACAAATTTTAGAATACTTTAAGTATATAACAAAAGTGTGTTATTTTTTTAAAAAATTATTTTTAATTAAGCACTACAATATAAAATGAAACAGAGCAAGTATAACTAACACTCATTTATCTAAGCGATAATTTTATTTTATTTTTGTATTTTATGTTTGATGTTTAACATCCACATTAAAATTCGACTAAGTTGAATTCATATGTTACATGACTTATTTTTTTGAAGACGATGCTACTAGAAAGATTTTTTTAATTTTCAAGACTCGGACTCGAAATCTCCGAACCCATATGAAATTCATGATTCAGAGTTGGATTTATGATTTATGATTTATGATTTATGAACACTATGTTTCACATACAAGCTGGTACTATTGTACTTTGTCTGCAAATAAAATATAAATATTAAAATGAATAGTAGCTTGTTTTCAAGATATTCTATCATGATTATTTATTATTTTAAGGTAAGATCCGATGATTATTTATAACTGAAATAGAATATTATGGAGGAATAATTAAATAATAATCAAAGACACAATTTTCGTAATAGATTTTCCTCTATTTGCCAGACCAAATCTTACTTCAAGATTTGGGCGTGAGAGGTTTTGTAATATTTTATTTTATACTATATGTTATATGGTAGTACTAATTTTTCTTCTATATGTCTGATATTGACAATTGGGAGTTTGCTTTTGGACAACTTGACATATTTTTTTTAATGCCAAACATATCCTTCGATCTTATCGTTTCTGCACCCACCCCACCCCACCCCACCCTTTCAGGTGGTGTTTGGGGGGGGATTTTTTGTCGGAAAATTATACTTTCTCCGTCCCATTTTATATGTCACCTTTTTCATATGCACTTGCATTAAGAAATGAGATAAGTTTACCCTTATGCCCTTATTTAATGTTTTCTTAAGACAATTTTATAATAAATGATGATGAATATGTTAGAGTTCAAAAATATAAATGCATTTGGATGACTATTTAAATTTAAGAGTTTATTTTTGGAGCCAATTTTTTTCACCAATTGATCCAAAAAAATTTAAAAATCAAGTTTTTTCCACCTCAATTTTTCTATATATTTTGTGTAAAATGTTTTTTTATATTTTTATATATAAATTCTTAAAGCAAACATGACAACATCACAAAATTCCTTTGAACTTTTTGAAATGCCATCTTCCTTGATAAAATTTGTTGAAGCTTCAACTTTCAAGACTATTTTTGATTTTTTTTTTCATCTTTTATTTTTAATTTGTTTGTTGATATTTTTTTTTCAAAATCAAATTTTATAGAATAAGTAGTGAATAAAGAAAGTAGTTAATTAATGAATGAAGTACTCTCCCAATGAGATTAACTACTTGTAGATTTCCTAGGTTAGTCAAAGTAAATACATTTTCAAGATTAATTAATTTATTTATCAAGGGTATAATGGGCAAAATATGATAATTTATGCATAAATTTTATAAAATGACAAATATTGTGGTTCAACTATTTTTAGAAAGGGATAACATATAAAATGGGACGGAGGGAGTAATAATACATATAAAGGGTTAAAAATATAAGTATTTTGTTGTCATTATTTTTTAAATATCTTTGATTGTATTTTTTTGAATTGAGTCCATCGAGAATACACATTTATATAGACCACTTTCCGGGAATATATGGAATATATTATTTTGACTTGATATGACATGACATATTATTTTGAACTTATAACATTATTTCTTCGACGTTAAGTTTAATTGAAATATCATGTCATTGAGTATGTGGCATGTCTCAAGAACTTGGAACCTCAAAATAAAGTGGTGGTTGAGCTTATAAAATAAACTTAGTTAATTCATATAATCCGATTTATTGTTCAACCCTAATAACGTTTAGAAAAAAATAAAAATTCCAGCAATTCACTGTACAGTTGAAATATATAGTTTAAGAATGTTATAACTTATAATTATGTTGAAGGTCTCGACTTTCGAGTTCAAGGTATGAAAACAACCTCTTGCTGAAATGTAGAATGAGGTGTCGTATAATAGGTCCTCGTAGTCCGATCCTTACCTGGACCCCGCACTAAACGGAAGATTATGGGATTGAAGCATGCTCTCACGCATTGAAGGAAGATGATATTAATGGCGGATCTACAACTTTAGAAAATTCATAAAATATAGAAGTATATTTGGACAAACCTTATCGACTTCACTTGCATTCATAAATTACCTTATAAATCTACTTGCGATACCAATTTCATGTGTCCTTCAAAATAAGTTTATGCTTGAAGAAAACGAAATGACACAAAAATAGTAATCCATACTCATAGCTTAGACATATTCCATGTTCACATGAAAACAATCATAACAAATTCGAGCATAACATAATTTGAAATTCATCCTGTCTTACATAACATATTGTATATACATATGCATATTATATGTATATATATGTATATTTTATGTATATGTATAGTATATGGATACTTTGGACATTTTTTTGGTAAACTAGATGGCCGAATGGTATATATGATAAGTTTGTCTAGATTGTGGTAGTTCCTTTTGTCTAATTTAGTTTCAAATTTCTTATTATAGCAAAATATGATAAGTTTTCTCTAGATTGTGGTATTCTTGTAACTCTGTTTTATGTATGATATAATCTGCTTTAATATAAATTAACATGATTTCACATTATCTTGTTGGTGCATTTGGCTCCTATGTACTGATAATTGAGAAGTTATATATAATATATTGCACATGATTTAAAATTTATCCTGTTCATTTGATTGGTTTATATTACAATAGTTAGAAGCTCCCCTGCTGAGCTGTATATGGTGGCTTATTTTCAAAGATTTTTTTTTTTTTCTAAAATGTTAAAAGTTTGATTTTCAAAAGAAATTTATTGTCACGCCCTAGATTAAAACAAGAAGTCTCACATCGGTACAAACACAAAAGAGATCGACGTTGAGTATATAGTAAGCATATCTTATTAATTAGTGACACGTTATAAAATCATACTGACCTAGGCCTAGAAATAGACGAAGTATGTGAAAAGAAGAAATGTGTTGGTCTAATTTTAAGCAGTGGCTGAGCCAGAATTTTCAATAAGGGGTTCAAAATCTGAAGAAGTGAACACATGAACTAACCGAAGGGGATTAAACATCTACTATATACTCCCTTTGTCCTTAATTACTTGTCCATTTTTGAATTGACACACCTATTAAGAAAACAATTATTGATATAGTGAGTTTATTAGTTTACCCCCATTAATTATGAAGTGGATGAATTAAAAACTTAAGGTTTTCAAAAAATTTTACATTTTTCAAAGTAATTAATTGAGGGTATAAAAAGTAAAAAAATTTGTCTTTTCTTGATTTGTCAAAATGGACAAGTAATTAGGGACAACTAAAAAAGAAAAAAATGGACAAATAATTAGGAACAAAGGGAATATATATAAAAATAATTTAAATCATATATAAATAATAATATTTTCTGTGGAAGGAGATTCGGATGAACCCCTAACAATATGCTGGCTCCGCCCTGATTTTAAGTTCAATGTTTCTCTCTCTATATATATTTTTTGTTCCCATAGCACAATAAAAGCTCACTAGGTACTCCCTCAGTCCACAATTGTTTGTCAGGGTAAGATCATGCACATCCCTCAAGGAAAATTTAATACAAGGTGTAATTTGACTAATATAACCCTACTATATCAAGAATACCAAAAGTCCACATAACTTTTCAATTGAACTACACAATCATTAAGGGCAGAATTGGAAAAAAAGTGACTAATTATTTCTTGGTTGTTTAAATTGACAATTAATCTTAGACATCTATTTTTAGTATACTTGCCAAACAATTGTGGGGGAGGGAGTAATTAAGATTGAGTCAATTGAAAAGTCAAATACCTATTTTCGAGATAATTAGTAATGCAACTCGAAAGTTGTTAGAAGTTGAAACACCTAGCTTCCTCTCCACCTCTATATATATACACACACTTGATATTATTTTTAAAAATTAAATTTGTATAAACAAAAAATAATATGAATATGAATATAACGAAGATTGGGCCAATAGGAAATCAAAAGGGAATTAATTGGAATGAAGGAAGAAGTGAAATAGCAAAGATTTTTGTTTCTCACATTGAAGACAAGATTTGTTCACTTCAATTCCCCTTCTTTGAGAATCAAGACTTTGTTTTGTCTAACATACATGGTGACACTAATGATTTTTGTCGCAACAAAAACTTCGATATAGTAAGTATCCTTTCTTTACATATATAATTTGGAACATTACGTAGAGTCTGTTTGAATTTACTAATTATAGATAGCAGATAAGTTTAAATATTGAAATAAGTGTTGAAATTGATTTTATAAGTTAGAAGTTACTTCTTTAGATCTTAGTGTTGAAATTGTTTGGTAAAATATGTTGTTAAGTTGTTCTTTTATTAAAATGACTAAAATATCCTTCTTTTTTTTTCTTTCAAGAAAATATTAATTCGAATAGTATTTGTATAAACGAAAGGAGGGATGATAGATATAGAGTGAGGAGGAAGTTAGAAATTTTATTTTGAAAAAATATTTTGAGAATAACTAATCAACATTTTTATTGATTTTGGGGATAATCTATTATTTTTTTTGGTTGATCTTTGCTTATAATCTCTTTGTTGTTAACCTAACATATAGATAAGTTAAAAGGTTCTTAAGTCAGTTCAGTTTGATCAATTTATAGTGAGACATCCTCTTGATTAATTTTGTTGATTGTAATCCATATATATTATATTGAAGGTTGCATTGGATTATCCATCAGAGTTTCTTACGGGTATAAAAGGTTCCTTTGGTGGAGTGCTTTTGAGCTCAATAACATTTAGCACCAACAAGCAGTGGCGAATTTAGAGCAAAAAAATAGGGCACCGGCACCTGTTGGTCTCTTCGTAAAATTAGATATTTTATATATATATTTTTTAAGATTTTATATAATATTATATTCTGGCACCCGTACTACAAGAAGTCTAAATGGTCCACATGGTTAAATGTTGAGCTTTTGACCTTGAGGATTAAGGATCAATTCTTACTTCAATATATTTTACTTGGTGCACCCAATGGCGGAGCCAAAATTTCAACTAAGGAGTGTCGAAATATAAAGAAGTTAAATTGTGTAGAAATCGAGGAGTGTCAAATATGTAATATATATATAAAAAAATATATTTTTATCTAGCTATGCAATATAATTTTCCGACGAAGGGGTGTCGGTCGACGCCCCTCAATTGTATGTGGCTCCGCCACTGGGTGCACCCATGTTCGAAAAATCCTTGATTCGCCTCTGCCAACAAGGGTTCCTATGGACCACATGGCTGCAAGAAAGCATCACATTACATAGAGTTCAATTTTCATATAGGAAATGATCGTTCGTTTGGTGGATTTTATGGCACCAAATATGGTAATTTCATAGAGAGTATTGGACTCTATGTAAAGACCATCACACCCTCCATGATCAAATTCAAAGATTCTCAAGTGAAAGTTAAAAAGGAAGAAGAAAAATGATTCAAGATGCTCAACTATTTATTTTTTTTAATTTGTCGTTAAATTGCTTGTAGATGATAATTTCTTTTTGATATTCTATCCCTAATCGTAATAGAGGGAATCAGAAGGAATGTTTATTCTTCATTTTGTAATGCGATGGATTTAAAAGTTTCAGCATATGCTTCTTGATATATTGTGGTGGATTTTATTAAATTTTTTGAACTTTGATTTGATATTTTTTATTGCAATCTAAATATCAATATAAATATATGGTGTATATCCATATAATTAGTGGCGTACCTATTGAACCAAGGATAATCACTCAAATATTCCTCGTTGCAAAATTATAATGTGCATATAAAATATAATATTATGTATAATGTTTAAAAATAACTTCTTAGAGATATATATTAAAGTTTTAAACATAATCGACAAAATTCATACCTAGTTTCGTCATCGCATATAATAAAGTGGTATTGAGCTTGATATTGTCGATCCAATAGCATAATTAATTGCCAAATTGTTGAATGGTGAGCTTATTCAACATATTTCAAAATTAGGCAACTCGATGATGAGGAAAATTTTGCAAGTGAGTTATGTAAATATTAAATTATGTATAAGTAATATGACGTATCATGTTTGATATTTGTTAGAAGATAAATTCTTCATGTATAAAATCAATATGATATTTGGTTTGCTGTACAAATACATAATTAATATTTGCATAAAATAATACATAAATTCTATCATAACTAATTGTTATATTATTTATATTTACATAATTCTAACTAGCTACCAAACACTTGGACCCTAATTGTGTGATGTGTGGTGGTGTTTTAACGTCATGTTTATGATTATTATTTTTATGCATCTATGTAACACTATAAATAGAGGTCTTAAAGATTGTGTTGTACATACTTGAAGATTTGGAAAACATCTATTTCTAGAAAAGATCATAAGAAAATCATAGATAAATGATATCCAACTTAAATGGTCGATTTTTAGTTTAGAGTTTCATACTCAGACACGAAGGTCACTAGTCCATTAATCCGGGTTAATTTTTATTGCAGAATGAACAATCTAAGTAAAGAACTAGCTCCAGAAAGATAGTTTATTGACCCAGTTCGATGAGACCTAACTTAGCTCTTTGAAGCACATGTTTAAAGAAGTTTCAAAATGTTTGTTCGAGACACCGAAAGAAAACTCTCCTCTCTTGTTTCTCTGTTGTAGTAGTCATTTTTATATTATTCTGAACTTAGTTTTAACACAAATCAAAGTTTGATAAATATCGAAGAACATAGAAGATATTCATTTTTTAATAAATTTAATAGACTAAAGTATTTAGAGAATATTTTGTTTGTCATTTTGTCTTCATTTTTATGAACAAAACTCAAATAGATTGGTATTTTTCTCATTGGATAAAGAATCATAGGTAGAGCTTATTTTCCCCCATTTTCTTCTTTCACTGATAAACTCAAAGGCATTTTCCGGTGAAGCAATTTGAACTGATAAAAATGGCAAACGGAGAAGGTGAAGTTGTGTGTGTTACCGGAGGCAGCGGTTTTATTGGTTCATGGCTTGTTAGTTCTCTACTTGACCGTGGCTACACTGTTCACGCTACTGTTAAAGATCTAAGTTAGTTGCTTCTTCCTTTGATCAATTTCTGGTTCGGATTAAGTATTTTTTCCTAATGTTGTTGATTTTTGTTTTTTTTTAGATGATGAGAAGGAGACGAAGCATTTACTTGCTTTAGAAGGAGCTGAATCTCGTCTTCGTCTTTATCAAATTGATTTGCTTGATTACGATTCAATTGTTTCTGCGATTACTGGTACTGTAGGTGTTTTTCATCTTGCTTCTCCTTGCACTGTTGATGAAGTTAAAGATCCTGAGGTGGGTTCGAGAACCCCTCTTTATTTTTATTTTTTTACTACTATTACTATTGGTCCTATGTGAAGCCAGAATTTGACTTTATTTGTTCTAAATTCTAGGATAGCGATATCGAGTCAAGTGTTTGGTTAAAAAATGTCCATTGTCATTGTATTTTTGGCTCAAAAATACTAAAATGGCTAAAAAGTATCAATCTTTCTAGGGATTGCTCCAAAACAAGAAAAAATGGTTCAATTTTGCTCTTGAACTATTCAAATTGTCCAATTTTGAGTAATTAAAGGTCAAGATTGAACCATTTTTCTTTGTTTTGGAGCAACGTTAAAAAAGAAGATATTTTTGAAGCATTTTGCTAGTTGGAGGATGTTCTTGAGCCAAAAATGTAACATAAGGTATTTTGAGCCAAATAACAGTACGGAGAGTAAAAACTGATCCATTTTGAATGGTTGAGGTATATTTGACTCATTTTTAATACAACTATGGTGTTTGAACTAAAGCTACACCGAACCGGTGGACTTCTAGTCTGGCCTCTGCTATTGCTCATTTACTTGTTCTTCAGATTGATTTGTAGTTTTGGTATTAATTTGCTACTCTGTCTGTTATCTACATGGGGTTGTGGTCGTGTGAGTTATAGAATGATCTTCTGTCACCAGCAATCAAAGGCACTAGTAATGTACTTACAGCATCAAAGGAGCTCGGTGTTAAGCGTGTGGTAGTGACTTCATCTGTATCGTCCATCACCCCAAATCCTAATTGGCCAGCTGATCGTATCATGAATGAGGATTGCTGGACTGATATTGAGTACTGCAAACAGAATGGGGTACATACATTTCCCTTTTTTCTGTTTGAGATTGGCTTTGCCCTGCCTTTGTATCTTAACATTTCGTATAAGTATCCGTTTTTTTGTTTTTGTGAGAAAAAAATAAGACAACGAGAGAAGATTGAGTGAAAACTTAGCTTGAATATTCCCTCGAACTGTTGGGTTTAAATACTAATGTAAATTAAGTTAGGAAGAATCAACTTGACTAATCCTAAATGATACTCACTAGTTTTTACAATATTTTTAACAGTTTCTGTGGCTTTGGATTAGAAAATAGCATGATTTTAATATTGGTATATAACATAATGTGATTTTGAACTTAGTTTGAAAGAATAGATTTTGTGAACATGGTAAGACAAGTCTAGTGTCATGTTATCATATTTGGGCACCATGGCGTTAGTGTGTAAGAGTGCTGCCGCACTGCCTTCTATCATCGTAAATTATCTCCAATTGTCGGGAGAAAGAAAAGATAGAAGAATCAGCTCCATTAGCCACTCATCTTATCACAAGTTCTTTTTTCTCTTATTCTTTTTAAGTTTGTATTGAAATGAAAATGGCCCAAATATCCTAGTATTTAGTTTGGTATGAGGTGTAGTTGACTGATTAATTGATTTGTTATAAAGGAACGTAGTTTTCGTTGGTTTTCTTCACTTGGATTTTGGAGTAAATTATGTACTTGGGTGTGAAATTGAGCCATGCTTGTTCAATCGTACGTAGAGATTTTAGTGATTCCAGGGTTTTGGTTCAAAAGTAAGGACTCAGCTGCTTACAAGAGGTCTGATAATTAATTGAGGTAGAGAACAGAAGCAGGTCCATATTTTCTCGAGTTTCGAACCATGGGTCAACTAGGTTTGGCTGGCTAACTCACAGGAAATTTCTCGGCTTTAACTAGAATTCGTACTATGAGATTTGAGTTTCATATTTGTTTCTATGAATGCCTATGTTATACATAGTGTCTCCATCCATGTATTGTGTGAAGTTGCTTAAAATGAGGTTATGTTTAGTTGTACTTGAGCAAAAAGAAATTAACAAGAAATCAAATTAGAGAAGTTGGTTGATTCATGAATATCAAGTTATTGTTAAGGTATGCCATAATTTTGATTAAGCTACCCGACAGGAACAGTAAAAGGCTTTGTTTGCTACAAATAAGAGAATTCCTTAAGCCCTAAAGCATCTCGGAGTAAAATGAGAATCTACTCTTGAGAATATTCAGGGCTAGGATGATACCATGGATTGTCAAAGATGTGAAGCTTGGTAGTTTAGAAAGAAGAGACAGAGAAAACTCCTTTGGTGCTCATATGGACAATATGGAGGAGTGGAACTGAAGTGCTTTTGAAGAGTGAAAATAACCTTGTAGAAATAAATGGAACTTAATGGTTCCTTTGCACTTTGAAGCTGATGATATGTTCCAATCTGTGTCTACGAATAGGCGTTTAGTGGAGAATAATGCTTGTGTAAAATGCTCTACTCTGGTTTATGTCTTGTATGTGGGATATCCTCATCAAATCAATGAACTATTAGCTTCATAGACAGAAAATATTGGTACGCATACCATTGATTAACCTGCTTTAACCCTTTGACTTTACTATAAAACTAAGTAGACACAACAGCACTGTGAAAGCCATGGAAGATGAAGAAAAAATTACCTTTGTATGCCTTATGGTTAATATCTTATTTGGTACTGATTAAATTAACTCAAGTCTTTAATCAGTTACCTGTTCAAAAAAAAAAAATTAACTCAAGTCTTTAATTCTTAATCAGTAAGTTAGGCTAAAATATCAAAAAGAAAATAGAAGCAAAAGCTCGACTAAATCTGGACTTGCTTGGCTTTTGCATAGACAACAGGCATTTCGTGAAAAAGACGCCTACTCCCTTCTTTTGATTGATGCTGAATTTCTTGTACAGTTAGCATTTCTCATCAGCTCCCTTCAAATGACATTGCTGTCAATCTTATGATTTAGGTATGGTATCCTTTGTCAAAAACACTTGCTGAAAAAGATGCTTGGAAATTTGCCAAGGAAAAAGATTTGGATATTGTTGTGGTGAATCCGGGAACTGTAATGGGCCCTATTATCCCACCAAGCCTTAATGCTAGCATGCAAATGATTCTTCGTCTTCTTCAAGGTAACATTGAGTAATGAGTTCCATTTTCCTCGTGTCTGCAAGGAAAGCCCTAGGATGGGGGTAGATTGTTGTTCTTATTTTTCTTCTGTTCAATTTGAATTCTTGTTGAAAGAATCAGTTCATTAAGTTATATTGCCACCTACTGATCTCTGCTGTACCTTTCTCTCAGAATCATATTTTCTAAAGCTTTTAAATATCTTTGATGGATATTAGTTATGAAACTTTGTTGCTTGTGTCCTCAACATGCCTTGTCACTTTGTTTATACTCAGGCTGCACCGATACATATCAAGATTTCTTTATGGGATTAGTCCATGTCAAGGATGTGGCATTGGCTCATATTCTTGTTTATGAAAACAAATCAGCAAAAGGAAGACACATGTGTGTTGAAGCCATAGCTCACTATGGGGACTTCGCGGCTAAGGTTGCAGAGCTCTACCCTGAATATAACGTTCCTAGGTAATACTCTTTTAATCTGACTTTTTTATGCGTAGTATACTTAAGGAGTGAGTATTTGTATTATCCTAGAGGTGCACTGTTCGGGGTTGTTTGGTAGAGTGTATTAGCAAAAATAATGCATGCATTTGCTCTGGTATTAGTAGTCCCTTGTTTGGTACATTTTTTCATGCTATGTATAACTAATATTACTTAGACACTCTATTGTATTACTAATACCATGGATTTCTAGGAATTAGGAATGCAAAGGGATTTAATACATGCATTAGCATGGTTAAAGACCCAATTACCCCTCAAAAACACTTTTACATCTTTTCCACCATAATTGTGGAGGATATTTTTGTAAAATAAATATTATACAATGCATACTATTTTTAATACACTATACCAAACAATGCATATGAAATAATCTATGCATAACTAATACAAGCATAACTAATACAAACATTACTAATGCAAGCATTACTAATACACACTATTAAGCATTATTTTTATACACTCAACCAAACAACCAGTATTACCAAGCATTCCTTATCCCTCTTCATTACCTTGGCTGTCTCCACCCTCCACAAAAAGAAATTTCTGAAACCTCCTCGGTAAGTAGTCCGTTTTGTTTTCAAATGATCAATCTAAATGCTTTAATAATTGAATGACTTTCTGAATCTAAATTTGTTCGTCTTTCCCACTCGACGTGTTTGTTTCTTTGATGTTCTTCTCATCAAGACTATTATTATCTGGGGATTTCTCTCAAATGAGCTTCCGTCTTCTTGAAGCCACTTGATCTTATTAGAGTTTGAATACCGCCATGACTTGCATAACTTACTGCTTATTGACAACTTAGAGATGTTAAGTAAATAAGTAATTTCTTCGGTATCTGTACTTCTTAGTCCTGCTTCTTCTCTTTCACCTTGTTATTTTTTATGCATGACGACTACAATTATTGCAGATACTCTTTTATCAGTTCGAGTTTCTTGTTTAAAGTATACTATGTAGTATTCATTTTCTCTGTTGTGTTTTACTCATTCGGATCAGGTTGCCAAAAGATACTCAACCTGGACTATTAAGAGCCAAGGATGGAGCTAAGAAGTTGATGGATTTGGGACTGGAGTTTATTGAAATGGAGCAAATAATTAGGGACGCCGTTGAGAGTTTGAAGATCAAGGGATATATTTCTTAGATGTCCATAGTTGCTGTGTAGATAAACTATGTTATCGATCCTTTCAGCGCCTTATTATGTGAAACAGACACACTTCAGGTTCAACTTGATAAGAACTTTCTAATAGAATTATGTTTTTCTCTCTTTGGTTTCTTGTTTTCACAGTTTCCTGTAAGCATAGCATCTAACTGTTGGACAATTTTCGATACCATCAGAAGTTGTAGCAACGAGCTACTAATGAATGACTATGTTGAAGTTTCAAATGTAGAGTTCGATACTTTCCATTTCATGATTGTATTTCAGGCTGAACACAACATCTGTTGGAAAAATATTTTTAATATCTCAAAAATAAAGTTATGTCTGAGAGATATTCCTACAATTGATTAGCATTTATGGCTTTCATTATAAGAAATTGACAGTTACCAAAACTTTGATATTTTTCTTTCTTAAATAATATTATTTAACTATTTTCTAAGTTCCTTTCCAATTTAACAAAGCATATATTTGTGTATTATTCCTATTCATTAACAATGATTTTTCTTAATTAGGTAAAATAGTTCTTTGGCTGTTGAAGTTTTTTAGAAAAAAAGGTTTTTCCTTTTGGGTAAAGATACAAAATGTACATCAATCTATTCTCCTCTTACTTGTTGGTTTTTTAAATCTTTGGTTTGATTTTAACTCCTAATTTTATATAAGAAAAAATGGTTGAATTTTTGGAGTATATCTATACTAGTTGAAATATCTTAAAGAATAATGTCAGAAGCTACGAGAATTTTCGTTATTTTCAATATTTTAATATCTTTATGCACCAATTTCATATCTTATCTTTAGCTTCAATTAGTTAAATTAAAAAGAAAACGATAAAGAATCACAAAATCAAAATAAAACGACTTGAATCAAACCTAAGTATGAAGACAAAAATCAACAAACTCTTTTTATTTTTTTCTATATCATCCTCCATATAGTTAAATCGAAAGAAATTGATAAAAGTCATAACAATGAAATAAAGCAATTAGAATCGAACCAAAACATGTATCATGACATAGAAGAATTCTACTATTAGACCACTTATACTATTTCACCTAATATTTTTTTTTCTCTAAAATTTATGTGAAACTAATCGAGAGACATCTTCTAGTTTTTGTATAAAAAAGATAAATTTTTGTTATTTTTTCATTTATACGAAATTAACCTAGAATGCATTTTAAAAAATTTCTATTGGTATATACATAATTTTTTTCAAAATTTTATACTCGTAAGAATTCCTGTTAATAGGTAATCTCTCAAATGAATGTCTAACATATTCGAAACCTCTTGCCTACCTCCTCAATCTATATAAAGTTTGGTTAGTGTCATTTTCGTTATGACGGACTATTATACTGAAACAAAAATTATTGTATTCGTACCCTTCGGGGTGGCCCAGTGATTTGGGCGTGGGACTTCCATGTTGGAGGTCTCAAGTTCGAAATCCCTTGCCAGCGAAAGCAAGGGGTTTGCCTTCTGGGTCGAGCTCGTCGCACCAGGCTTGCCTAGTGCGGATTACCTCTCCTATGTGATTTGCGAGCTATTGCATAGGAGCGGGAGTTTTACCCTATGCGCACCCAAAGGATAGTGACTGCGGGTTTCCCTTGTCATCAAATTTTTTTTATTGTATTCGAAATAAAAAGAGAGAAGGTTTATAACTTACCTCTTTAATCGCCTACAATTGTGGTAAATTCTACACCAACAAAACAAGGACACAAGAGCTAACACCATCTCTCTCTCTCTCACATGCAAAACACACACAGAAAAGAGTAACAAGTGAACAACCACAACCATGGCGGCCACCATTGTTAGGTCACCCAAGCTCTCCCTCTCCCTTCCTCCACCTGAATCAACCACCTCAAATCTACCATCTCTAAACCAGAGCTTCTTCACTCCGTTACCTAAACGACGTCGTTGTATCTCGATCTACGCATGTACCGCTGGTGATCAAAGCAACAGTGCATTTGGAGGTGAAATTAAGAAAGGACAAGCGATTGAGCTTAATAAAGTTAATGATGAGAATCCTTATGAATTTAATGCTAAGGATTCACCTAATCCCTTGCCTAGTAAGTTGCGGTTTTTTTATAAAGGATTAAATTAGGGGTTTTTTGTGACAATGTGATTGTATTGATTGTTATGTGTTGAAAATTGAAATTGGTGAATTTCAGGGCCATTAACTTCGGCTGATTTGAGCAATATGGCTTCTGAAGGTTCTCGTCTTCGGGTTGCTTATCAGGTATGAGCGGGTTTATGCGTGCATTTCCTTTTTTTGTTTGTACTAGTTGATTAACAGAGGTAGTGGTGGATGTAGAGTTCAGTTATCTGAATCTATAGTTCTGATCCGAAGCATAAATTTATATGTAAAAATATAAGTAGTAGGTCTGACCACTTGATTTTAAAAGTACAGTGGGTTCAATGCTAAGGACTTAAGTATTGAACCCATAAAGTTTAATCTTTATTCCACCCATGAACAGAGGCAGATCCAGAATTGATGGAGTGGGTGTTTTGGGCTCGGATAATTTATTTTTGCTGTCACTAGTTTCAAAATTTGTATGTGTCTCTGCTAATGAGGTTGCTCGTTTTCCTCTTGTTGAGGTTTCTGATTGGTTGATTTTATTGTGTTTTCAGGGTGTGCGTGGTGCTTATAGTGAATCAGCTGCAGAGAAAGCATACCCCAACTGTGAAGCAGTTCCGTGCGAACAATTTGATACTGCTTTTGACGTGAGTTCTCCTTTGTATTCTAGAATGTCCTGGATTTGTTTGTCTTGATGAAGTATGCATATTTTTAAATCCGTGTAGGAGTGGATGACAGTTAAATCATGAACAACCATACCTTTCAAAAGAAAAAGTAAAAAGTTAACATTATCTATATAATAGGACGGGTGAAGTGGAGGAGTGCTATAGGGTTATAAGCAATAGGAAGTTCTAACAAAATGGCAGGTTTTGTGAACGGATGTGAGACAAGCAATGTTATATGAGAGTGAAAATTGGATCTCTAGACCCTACATGTTATGTAATTGAAATATAATGTTGCAATAGATGTGTCATTGGGTATGTTGTTGTTGTATTAGCAATGATCAGACCTTACAGATGGTGCAAGTAGCAGGCAAAAAGGATAAAATAAATTAAGGTTGACTATTTGTCCATGTCATATGTAGACCCCATATATACCTGGTTTGTAGGTGTGTCAATATGATTATATAATGTGTTGAAGGGGAAGAATTTCTTATCCAAAAAAAGAAGAAAAAGAAATGGATAAGTAGACATAAAATAACACGAGGCATCTGTCTAAAAAGATCTATAATCTCATGGAATCATGTGGATTAAGTTAAGAATAGAATGAAATGGAAGCAAAAAGACTCAGTTGTTATAGCACTTACTTTGGTTCTTCTGGTTGTGAAACGTCTCTTCTTCTTTTCTTCAGGTTGGTGACATGTATGTTCGTGTGGGAATAACTTTGACATTTGGAAAATGCATCCTTTTAGAGATCTTCTAATTTCTTATAAGATAAAGTATTTAGTAAACTGTATGTTCTGGCCATGCTGGGTTGCATTACTCTAAACCTGTGCTTGTAGGTGGTCACATACCGCATGGTTGATTAGTTGAGGAGAGGGCAAGTTTGTTAGTACCACATTGTCAGGAAAAGGGGACTGATTGCTTAGTGTTGAAATGACATTGACCTGAATAGAGAGGGATAGATGCAAAGTTTGATACAAAGGATTCATAAGTCTGACATCAACTAATTTGGATTGAGGTATAGTTAGTTGATTGAAAGATAGTTTCGGAAGTGTAAGTATATTGAGCTCATATGTGGCGTTAACCATGAGCTACACACTTGATGTTCTAATTTTAGTTAAAAGCAAGGAGTAGTATGTACCTTGCAGAATCGTTGTTAAATAGCCTTAAATTAAAAGAAGAGCTTAAAAAATTGTCTTTTATAGTAAGATCTTAAGAAATAGCTACTGTTAAATTATTATATTATCTTTAATAGTACATTCCTTTATGACGAGTTTCAAATCCTGTTACTTGTGTTGACATTTGTTCCAATCAGAGGCAAAGGTTCATACTTTTTAACCTCTTGAAGGTACTCAATGACTGATCCGTTCCTTGCATAAGATATTGTTATTATGTCCATGTGACCAAAATGGTTAAGACTACTTATCACAAATAAAAGGTTTAGAGTATCATACCATTTGTTAAACTGTTGACCGACTTTTGTCCTGAAGCAATTTCACTTTAACTATAACTTGCTAGATTCCTAATATATGCCTTAGTCATAGATTATGGACTCTTTTTCTTTTTTCCTTTAATAAATAAATAAATAAATACTGGTGGTCAACAGTTCAATTATAAGCTAATAATTGATTTATGCATTATTGTCAATATGGATATGAACAGATCAGTTAGTTAAACATAGAATGTACCTGTGTAAGAAATTTCTGATATTCAAGAACAAGCTGCCCAAGCTGGGAAAATGCTTATTGCCTTGGAGTGTTATGTGAAAAATGCTGTTATACTCCTCCTGTAGTTTTCTTTTGTTCACCTATAGACTTCATCATACTCCACCCCGCTATGTTCATAATACATCTCTATAATTGAGTTCCTCCATTCCTGTCTCTACCTTTCTTATGCTTTCTGAATGCCTCTATTTTGGGGCTTGGCTTAGACCATGAACTCGATATTGGTTTCTTATTGTATATACCTAGAGGCAGTCAAGTGGTGTTGATGAAAGATATATACTTTTGAAACTAGGAGAGGAAAACACTCTCAGCCATTTATCAGTTTATTATAATATTTGCTTGGCATATCTATCTTGGGTTGGAAATTGGTTGGTTGTAGTGTGCAGGAATAGAAATACTAGTGCATGGGCAGAATATCTGGTTGTAGTCCCAACATTTTGTGGATTGAATACCTTATTTGTTTCTAAAATCTAACACAATGATTTGCGACCTATAGCAACAGAAATTATCTGATCACAAGTACCATCCGCTCACTCTTGATCGGAAGAATGGTACCAATTCCCCTTTAGCTTGTGACTGGCCCAAGCAGCTTTATCTGATCTCTTTAATGTACCAAATCCCAAAATTTATACTGCCTGTTTAGCATTTCTCCTCAAATTGTTTCAGTCATTCTTGGTGAATTAATTTGGTGAGGCGAGACATAATAGCTCGGGCCACAATGATTCTTGAACTAAAATCTTGTGTGATTTAATGTTTCTTGAAGGCTAAGGACAGTAAAG